TTATTGCTGGGAGGGAGACCCCCCCTCCCTACAGAAAGCCGCGACCACATGTCACGGGAGGGAAAATGGTCGCAGATCCTGTTCGTCACCCAATCCGGCGTTCGCGAACGGAAGCAAAATTTTGCAAACGGTGCTGTTCGTGAACCGAATTGTTCGTGAACAGAAGCGTTCGTGAACCGAGGTACCACTGTATTTCTAAATTTCTGCAGAGGTCCAGCTTAGATAGGCAGAAATCCATCAGGATGGCTGACTACATCTGCAGATATGGAATATGTGTCCTACATACATAAGAAGAGGATTCTTCACCAAGATTTATTTCACCTCCACTTCCCTTAGCAGTTTTGTTATCAATGTTCAGATGCCTTCTCCAGAAAACTTCCCATCCCCAAAATATCCTAATACATCTAAGAAGGAGATACCACTCCAACCCTGGCCTTCCACAAGTATCTGCAGAACAGAGTCAGATTTTTGCTGGGTTCTTCTAATTTCTCTAAATAACTTTACCTCAATGGAGCTAGCAATGTTCAAAGATTCCTCCATGCCAGGAATGTCAAGCTGGATAATTCGCAGGTCTTTGCATTTGATAATGATGGTGCCCAAGAAGCCAATAAAACTGCAGTGATATAAAAACATGAATATTGAAGAGCTATGAATATAATCTGAAAGCCTTCAAACAGAAGAAACATCATATTAAAAAGCACCATATTAGCAGCTTACTATTTCTTTACAGCTATATGTTGCTAGTAAATAATTCCAGTAATGTTGCTGAAATCCCAAGGCCAATCCTAGGAAGATCAAGAGGAACTCATCTAAGTCCCCATCTTTCTTCCTTCATGGTTAAATAAGAAACAAGGGAGAGGGGGGTGAGAAATTGCATTTTTGACTATAGGACTTATGATTCAGGTTTCCTCTTATGCAAATCTCAGCTCATTTTCACCTTAATCTTGGGAGGGAAATAATTAGTTGCTAACTAAGGTGCTATGATACTTTTAAAAACCAAATGCAAATGATGAAGCAAATAGCAAAAACTATCATTTTTCCTTCTGTAATGAAATTGTTTGATAGAGTGCCTACTGCTCAGTGCAGGTGAATGGGGGAAAGAGACATTGCTTTTCTTCACAGTCTAGAGGAAAAGAAAATAAGAGAAATTTATTTCCTTAACCTCCTGCATTTGTATGAGAATAAACCAGAGTTTTATAAAAACTGAATGCACTGCAGCTCAGTTCAGATAGTCACCCAACACAGAGACATGCTGTTATGTCACTTCATTCCCTCCATAATTGACTGTAATGTCCAAACTGGACAACACTAACCAGAATGTCTTCCAAACTCCCATTCAAAACTGTATTATAATTAACTTCAGAGTTAACAATAATAACCCTGCCCTGATCTAGACACCATAGCAACTGTGGCTAAAGGTAATCAGGAGGTAAACTGCATATGAACAAGAACAAGCGAGAGCAGACAAGGCTATACAACACATCCCCAATTCCCAAAACACTGATTTAGATCATTGATGGAAGTTGATTGATGACTCAGCTGAATAGTGCTCCATATTTAGAGACAACGTATCTCTGAATATTTCTAATGCATGGACAACAGAGGGAAAGAAATATTGAACAAACTGTACTTACAAGCTTCCTGGAAGCTTCTGTTCAAAGCAGGATGCTGGGCCAGAAATCCAACAACTCTAGTTTTTAGATTCTAAGAAATTACAGAAGCAGAGAGCAAGGAAAGAGACTGCACTACCTTGCAAGCAGCGTTTTCAGAGAGGATCAATCCAGATGATTCAAACAGGAGACTCAAGTCTAAGTCTTCAATAACTATTTAATGGATGGTCAGAAATCAAAGGATGAAGCCTTTTCTGGCACAAAAATGCAAAGTGTAGGAAAAGCTTCTACTAATGATTTTCAGTTAAGCAGCTTCTTTTTAGTGCATGTATTTAATAAAGCTGCAGAAGACAAGCTCCACTGGATGTTCCCTCTAATTTCTTCCATAAGAAGGAATGCCTTTTTAAGAAAATGCCTCCTAAAAGAGCCACCATTTGAAAATAAAGTATGTCGTTGCTTCAGGACTTCTGTTTTTGCAATATACACATTTAATTTAAATCCATAGTGCCATTCTTTTAAAGCTCACATAGTAAGTTAAGAACAGATATTTCAAATGTTTAAAAATAGAAAGTATATTTTAAGTGAATGTTTAAGTAATCATAATAATTCATTTTAAATATTCATACCCTCCCCATCAGCTTAGAGAAAGCATTCAACAATAAAAGTCCAAGGCAATTGAAAAATAATGCAGCAGAATGTTTAGCCTTCAAATGGCAATAAACTATGAAGCAGTGAGATCACAAATTAAATTTATTTTATGCAACTTATATTCTGCCTTTCTATTTTGGTGAGAACTCAAAGCAGAACTGAGGAAATAAAAGCAATTAAAAATGCTTGAATCAGTGAGAAACAATTAGGTCTGGGGCTGACAAGGTTGTACTATCAGCACCAGATAAGCTTCCCAAAAGAGACTATTTTGGAACCAGGCTACCAGTACAGTACAGAACAGGCCTCTCCCTATCCTTGGTACACATTGTTCTACATCAACTGACTGTACTTAAGAAAGACTTCAAACTGAAGATATTAATCTATGATTTTTATTTATTAATGTATTTATTTACAGAAAATATATGGCCACCCATCTCATATAATGATTCTAGGAGGTTCACAACAAGCAATAAAAGCAATGATAAAAACAAAACCACCGTTCCCTTCCCACTCCATGTGAGGGAGTAGCATGGGAAGAGATGTTTCTTCACATATTTGGTCCCAACAGGCTAAGGGCCTATGTTCAACATCCTGAATAGTGCTTGGAAGCTGATAAGGGAATTTTACAGGTTGCTTAATAACCAGTGTGCTGTTGTAATTATAGTATTCAGAATTATATCCACTGAATATAAAGTGGATATAATATCAGTGAAGCTTCTGAGTTTTTGTCAAAGGGAGCTCCACAATTAGCATATAGCTATAACTAAG